GACAAGTTTTATGACATATGAAATTCCTCCTGTCACCAATCAGTTTCGAAAAAGTCAATCACATGATCATAAAGTTTCTGGTCACATGACTTGCTGACAGGTGCCTATTTGGGGCCTGTAGAACAGGTGATGGAGGCCTGTACAATAGCCGTCAGCTGTTGTGGTGACAAGGTGTAGGCCTGAGGCAGAGTCGTACTGATCACTGGTAATACCTATCTTACCTGTGGCTCATTGTGGGGTGGCCACTACTAGTGCTTTACACACCTTTTCACTGATTCTCCTGTTTCACTTTGGTTGTTACCACATGCTTATCTTATGTTTGAGATCAGGATTTATTTTAGGATTTGGAATGTGATTTCTCTGTTGTTTTTCAAGAACTACTTGAAATATTAATACCTGATCCTTTAACTACAAGGAGTAGCTTTACAGCTGGTGTTGACCTTAAACAGCTGCTTTTTTATGTTAATTGGTTCTAGTGATGAGTGAGAAATCACATGTAGAAATTGTTATCACCTACAGTCATTAACACCATCAACTGGACACAATGCAGGTGAAAACCCTGCCTGAATCATCAAGTTTCTCCGAACAGGTAACTATGCAAAAGTTTAAAATAGACACATGGATATAAGTTTTATTTGTGTTTAAAGGATACATGTGGACATAGATATCTAGGAAACCTTACTGACACAGAGACGTAGTATGATTTGTATATAAATAGATTTCAAATTTCTTATCATGTATTACATTTTGAAAGTATACAGGGTAAGAAAATAGATCACAAATTACTTATATTATATACTGTAAGTATGCAGGTTATATTATTTATCTTATATACTGTAAGGAGACAGGGTATATAAATAGATCACAAATTACTTATATACTGTAAGGAGACAGGGTATATAAATAGATCACAAATTGTGTATACTTATATTATATGTTGTAAGGATAAATACAGAGTTTATAAATAGATCACAAATTACTTATATACTATAAGGAGACAGGGTATATAAATAGATCCCAGATTACTTACCATGTGTATACTATAAATAGACCACAGATTACTTATCATATGTACTGCATGAAGACAGGATACTATAAATAGATCCCAGATTACTTACCATGTGTATACTATAAATAGATCCCAGATTACTTACCATGTGTATACTATAAATAGACCACAGATTACTTATCATGTATATACTGTAAGATTTTATGTATTAACTATATAGAGTCCATGTTCTGTTAGATTTAGTTCTGAATCAATGCTAGCACCTTAATAACATCATTTTAGTTAGTATTTTGATTAAGCTCTGTACTAAAGCCACCTACAACAATACCACATAGCCAAATGAAGTTGTGTTGCTAGCCTAAGGTCAAGGTCACCATAACTATTTATAAAACATTAACCAATTCATTGATGGTATTAGTCACCATTTTGAATCATTTCCTAAACAGGACTCGCAAAATCATTCCATGTTTGTCTCTACCTTATAGTTTGTTTGTTTATAATTAGGATTTAATGGTTAATTGTTTTATCTTACAACCACTGCTACATTCACCCGCTTCCCCAACCCCCTGACAGTCACTGTAACGCTAACCCAAACTGTCACTGTATAACTGCTGTATCACAGATACCTCACTTACAACCACTGTAACACTGCTGTATCATAGATACCTCACTTACAACCACTGCTACATTCACCCGCTTCCCCAACCCCCTGACAGTCACTGTAACGCTAACCCAAACTGTCACTGTATAACTGCTGTATCACAGATACCTCACTTACAACCACTGCTACATTCACCCGCTTCCCCAACCCCCTGACAGTCACTGTAACGCTAACCCAAACTGTCACTGTATAACTGCTGTATCACAGATACCTCACTTACAACCACTGTAACATTGCTGTATCATAGATACCTCACTTACAACCACTGCTACATTCACCCGCTTCCCCAACCCCCTGACAGTCACTGTAACGCTAACCCAAACTGTCACTGTATAACTGCTGTATCACAGATACCTCACTTACAACCACTGCTACATTCACCCGCTTCCCCAACCCCCTGACAGTCACTGTAACGCTAACCCAAACTGTCACTGTATAACTGCTGTATCACAGATACCTCACTTACAACCACTGTATAACTGCTGTATCACAGATACCTCACTTACAACCACTGCTACATTCACCCGCTTCCCCAACCCCTTGACAGTCACTGTAACGCTAACCCAAACTGTCACTGTATAACTGCTGTATCACAGATACCTCACTTACAACCACTGCTACATTCACCCGCTTCCCCAACCCCCTGACAGTCACTGTAACGCTAACCTAAACTGTCACTGTATAACTGCTGTATCACAGATACCTCACTTACAACCACTGCTACATTCACCCGCTTCCCCAACCCCCTGACAGTCACTGTAACACTAACCCAAACTGTCACTGTATAACTGCTGTATCACAGATACCTCACCACTGCTACAACCACTCACTGTAACACTGTCACTGTATAACTGCTGTATCACAGATACCTCACTTACAACCACTGTAACAGATACCTCACTTACAACCAGAACACTACTGTATCAGATACCTCACTTACAACCACTGTAACACTACTGTATCAGATACCTCACTGACAACCACTGTAACACTACTGTATCACAGATACCTCACTGACAACCACTGTAACACTACTGTATCACAGATACCTCACTGACAACCACTGTAACACTACTGTATCACAGATACCTCACTGACAACCAATGTAACACTACTGTATCACTGATACCCCACTGACAACCACTGTAACACTACTGTATCAGGAATACCTCACAGACAACCACTGTAACACTACTGTATCACAAATACCTCACAGACAACCACTGTAACACTACTGTATCATAGATACCCCACTGACAACCACTGTAACACTATCACAGATACCTCACTTACAACCACTGTAACACTATCACAGATACCCCACTGACAACCACTGTAACACTACTGTATCACTGATACCTCACAGACAACCACTGTAACACTACTGTATCACAGATACCTCACTGACAACCACTGTAACACTACTGTATCCCAGATACCCCACTGACAACCACTGTAACACTACTGTATCACAGATACCCCACTGACTGTCACTTTATGCTGCTGTTTCACAGATTCCATGCCGACAACCATTTATTGAGTCACAGCCACAGATATAACACAGATATGTCATACATAAAGATTCACCTATAAGAGATATCGTTCAGATTTCTCTTCAAATCAATAATGTGTATTGATCTTATCGCAGAATTAATGTTAGCATGTTTATTGATTGACTTTAATTGCTTGAAATGATATTTAACCAATTTGGAGGATTGTGTAAATATTATTTTGAGTATGGTATGGAAGTATTTGCTTGAGAAAGGGATGTTTGGCAGGAGACAGGAATGAAAATGCACACAGAAGCTAATGGAGATTTATTGGGACAACTATATATATAGGACAATAGCAAGCAAATCAAACAACAACAGACCTAACTAGTATCTAGATTTTGGTTACCACTACATGATATTGATTTCCATTTGGTGATGTTATTAGATGGAAAACAGACTATTCTGATGAGCTAACCCATCTGCCTGGGAGTGTCATTATATAAAGTATCCGATTCTCTTTAGCTTTTTCTTCAACATTAACCCTGATTAAGTAAGAGGTCATTCCCGTTATCAGGTTCTGATAATGTAATGAAAATCACTTCCTGTTGTGTGACAGTCTCATTTCAGTGTTTAGGGATAGGATCAGAGTGTGAACAGTCTGCTGTTGTATTGTTAATTGAAACATTTTCAGACTTGAACAGTCCAAGTATGTGTTTTATAAAATGAACAGTCGTGGTACAGTGTTTTACCAAAAGATTAGTCTGGGTTTCGTTAGTTGAACAATGTGGGCACATTGTTTTAAAATTGAACTGTCTGTATGGTGCTTTAATAACTGAAAAATGTTGGTACAATGTTTTATGAATTGGACATTCTTGATGCAGCTTTTTATTAATTGAACAATCTCGGTATTTTATGAGTAGGACAGTCTGGGTACAGTTATTCTGTATTGAACAAAATAGGAGATAATCAAAACCCTGGTCTCTTGATATATAGAGATAAATACTAAAGATGTCATTTTTACACCTCTATTTTGTATCTTGATATTGTCATACAGTTTTTGTTTATATGAATTAAATAAGTGATATTTTAACCATTGGCAAAACAGGATCAGGTATTATAATGTCACCTATGACGATACATAATGCTGATGATAGTTTGAGATCACATGCTCTACACCACAATGTAAAATTACTGTTTAAGATTGGTTTCTGATGAAAGTCATCAATAATTTACTTAATAGTGTATTGAAAATAATGCATGTTCATTTTGTCAGGACAAAGTATTATAAGTTAATCTGCTCGATTACATAAATGCATAATAATTATCACTATTTTTCCTGTGTTTCTTTAAAAAGTTTTCCTCAAATAAACAGACAGCTTGGGGAAAAACAAATCAACAGAAAGAAATAAGGAAAACAACAACGAAAAAAACAAAAAAAATACATTTGTACACAATTTCATTTTAACTAGAAACATTTTCATATATTGTGATGAAAATTGCAAATCAAATCCCATAGCCAAACGGTTTAATTTGCTTTTTAAAGCAGCAGCTATTTGCCTATTCATTGTTTTGAATTTTGGTATGAAATCTTAATCTCCAAGGGAGTTTGACGTGTTAAAGTGCTGGTTTATATATCAGAGATTTACATATATATAGGAGTTTTGTAGAATGTTTCCTCTGACACCAATACATGTAGCTGACAGGGGATCAGAGAACGGGGGACAGGTTCCGGCCATACTGAAGCCCCTCCAATGTAACGTACTCTATGTATTTCTGTATGTTCCTCAAACTTATTGATTTTATATACATGTATTACAATCGTGCCATTTTGTTTCAGAACTCGGCGATTGCAGGATTCACCACCCTCTCACCAGGTATGGCAGAGAGCCGATCACAGGACAGCAACTTCCTATCCAGTGAGGTGAGTGTTCCACTTTCCCTCTCTTTCTTGATCTCTCTTTGATTTTGATAGCTCTCGTGCTCTGTTTGTCTCTCTGTAGTGTATGAACAGGACTTTCTTACTTGTATAGAAAGGTGTTTCCTATCAGTTTTTTTTCCTACCTTTTTTCCCTGTTTTCATGTACCTCATTGTGTTTATGTGTTTTTGTGAGATCAAAGAACATAACCTGTAGCACAGGGCAGTTACATGTGATACAGAACAGTTACCTAGCTGTGATACAGGACAGTTACCTAGCTGTGATACAGGACAGTTACCTAGCTGTGATACAGAAGTTACCTAGCTGTGATACAGGACAGTTACCTAGCTGTGATACAGAAGTTACCTAGCTGTGATACAGAAGTTACCTAGCTGTGATACAGGACAGTTACCTAGCTGTGATACAGAAGTTACCTAGCTGTGATACAGAAGTTACCTAGCTGTGATACAGGACAGTTACCTAGCTATGATACAGACAGTTACCTAGCTGTGATACAGGACAGTTACCTAGCTGTGATACAGGACAGTTACCTAGCTGTGATACAGGACAGTTACCTAGCTGTGATACAGGACAGTTACCTAGCTGTGATACAGAAGTTACCTAGCTGTGATACAGAAGTTACCTAGCTGTGATACAGGACATTTACCTAGCTGTGATACAGGACAGTTACCTAGCTGTGATACAGAAGTTACCTAGCTGTGATACAGAAGTTACCTAGCTGTGATACAGAAGTTACCTAGCTGTGATACAGAAGTTACCTAGCTGTGATACAGGACATTTACCTAGCTGTGATACAGGACAGTTACCTAGCTGTGATACAGAAGTTACCTAGTTGTGATACAGAACAGTTACCTAGCTGTGATACAGGACAGTTACCTCGCTGTGATACAGAACAGTTACCTAGCTGTGATACAGGACAGTTACCTAGCTGTGATACAGAACAGTTACCTAGCTGTGATACAGGACAGTTACCTCGCTGTGATACAGAACAGTTACCTAGCTGTGATACAGAACAGTTACCTAGCTGTGATACAGGACAGTTACCTAGCTGTGATACAGGACAGTTACCTATGATACTGGTGGATTTTTTTCTTTTATTTATTTTTAGTATTTCTTTCTTATTTTCTAACTTCCATTTCTCAAATACAGAAAAAAGCCTCAAAATCCTTCATGGTAGCTTTACACTGCCCTGAGTTAAGGAACTTTGTCACTTGATCATCCCCTCTTTCAACATTAATGTTTAAAAGCTATGATACTCACTTCTAAGTGACATAGTCTCTGTCTCTATAAACAGATCAGTAAATAATTGAATCTGAAGAAGTACACCATGTCAGGTGATACAGCTGCTGAAACATTGTAGCATCCAGTCATAACTTCTAAGTACTTGTTGGGATAGGTTAAAATGTTTCCCAATGTTCCCGGCAATTCTACACATAAAGGAGGGAAACTCTAATTTAACCACAGTTTTAGATGTGAATTATAAGTAGATCTTTTAAATTGTTTATAAAACCAGTCAGGCCACCAGAAAGAACAGCTAAATAATGGTAAAACAGTTTATCAACTGAGGTCTGAAAGTTCTTTTTTATCTGAGACGTTGAGCTTTTGATGCAAACAATTTCCCCATGGAAATTCCAAGACGAATATACCAACGATTGGTACCACATCAGTGTCCTTTAAGACTGATGTTATGGTACCAGAGAAAAAAATGTCTGTGTGTAAATAGCAATGCTGTTGTGAATTTCCAACGTATAATGTAGTTCTACGTACAGTAAACCTTTACTTCCGATTATCAGTAACATGAGTTAATCACCCCTGAGATCAGGTATAAGTTTATATTTTTTGTTTAGAATAGTACCTGATCTGAGTGCTGCTTTTAATAAAACACACTTACCAGGACTAAAGTACAAGGAGCCTGGTGCTGTTGACAGTAACATAGAGCTTGATATCAGGCTTGGGATATCAATTAGGTGTTAGAGTAGTGAAGAAAGATCCTTACATCCCTACCTGTTTAATCTGATTACCTTTAAGTAAGTTTTCTGTGATTAGGAACAGCCATACTGTACATTAAGTGATACTTATATTAAAATGAAAAAGAAGAAATTGTTTCTTTTATTTTATCAGGATGAAGCTCTTTCATTAACAGTACTAACTGTATAAAAATTAAGCTATTCCATTAAATATATAAAAAAAATAAGTTATTTCATTAACTGTATGAAGATTAAGCAATTTCATTTACTGTATAAAAAATAAGCTTTTTCTTTTCATTAACTGTATAAAAATGTTAAGTTATTCCATTAACTGTATAAAAATTAAGTTGTTCCATTAACTGTATAAAAATTAAGCTATTTCATCGCATATGTAAAGAGTAAGTTATTTCATTACCGTATTAAGATTACGCTATTTCATAAAGTCTTAAAATAACGATGGACGTTTTTTCATTAACTATTGAAAGGTAAAGTTTCATCAATTGCATGAAGAAGAAGCAATTTCATTACCAGTAAATTAGACATTGTTTCTTCAGAAGTATTGTCAGATCTGTGATAAGATATATCAACGAATTTGACTTTTTGAACCAGAGCAAAAGTGACTCTACTGACAGCCTTATCTGAGTGTATGTGTCTCCAGGGTAATGCTGATACATAATAATAACAAAAAGCAATAATGTAAGTGGTCAATGATTTAACATGTGACATTGTAGATTTATAGCACATTTGTAATTGTTATGTTTTATCACTGCCCACACATCAAAGTTTATATATTTAGTAAATCTCTCTATAATTCTTTATACTTATCAGAATGGTATCTATTACTTTTTCTTTATCATAACTTCTCTTTATCTACATCTCCTACAACATACTGAATTCAAGGTTGTTTGGTTGACCACTTGTAAAATGATAAAACACAATTTAGAAAAGTGATTAATTGTTTAATACAGACACTGCTCTCATGTAAACCTGACTTAGATCTCCTACAATACAACAGGTACTGCTCTCATGTAAACCTGACTTAGATCTCCTACAGTACAACAGGTACTGCTCTCATGTAAACCTGACAAAGATCTCCTACAGTACAACAGGTACTGCTCTCATGTAAACCTGACTTAGATCTCCTACAGTACAACAGATACTGCTCTCATGTAAACCTGACAAAGATCTCCTACAATACAACAGGTACTGCTCTCATGTAAACCTGACTTAGATCTCCTACAATACAACAGGTACTGCTCTCATGTAAACCTGACAAAGATCTCCTACAATACAACAGGTACTGCTCTCATGTAAACCTGACAAAGATCTCCTACAATACAACAGGTACTGCTCTCATGTAAACCTGACTTAGATCTCCTACAATACAACAGGTACTGCTCTCATGTAAACCTGACTTAGATCTCCTACAGTACAACAGATACTGCTCTCATGTAAACCTGACAAAGATCTCCTACAATACAACAGGTACTGCTCTGACGTAAACCTGACTAAGATCTCCTACAATACAACAGGTACTGCTCTCATGTAAACCTGACTTAAATCTCGTACAACTACAACTTATACAACAGGTACTGCTCTCATGTAAACCTGACAAAGATCTCCTACAATACAACAGGTACTGCTCTCATGTAAACCTGACTAAGATCTCCTACAGTACAACAGGTACTAAAACCTGATCTCCTACAATACAACAGGTACTGCTCTCATGTAAACCTGACTTAAATCTCGTACAACTACAACTTATACAACAGGTACTGCTCTCATGTAAACCTGACAAAGATCTCCTGACTACAACTATACAACAGGTACTGCTCTCATGTAAACCTGACTTAAATCTCTTATACAACAGACTGCTCTCATGTAAACCTGACTAAATCTTGCTCTCATGTAAACCTGACTTATCTCCTACAACTACAACTTATACAACAGGTACTGCTCTCATGTAAACCTGACTTAAATCTCCTACAGTACAACAGATACTGCTCTCATGTAAACCTGACTTAAATCTCGTACAACTACAACTTATACAACAGGTACTGCTCTCATGTAAACCTGACTTAAATCTCGTACAACTACAACTTATACAACAGGTACTGCTCTCATGTAAACCTGACTTAAATCTCGTACAACTACAACTTATACAACAGGTACTGCTCTCATGTAAACCTGACTTAAATCTCGTACAACTACAACTTATACAACAGGTACTGCTCTCATGTAAACCTGACTTAAATCTCGTACAACTACAACTTATACAACAGGTACTGCTCTCATGTAAACCTGACTTAAATCTCGTACAACTACAACTTATACAACAGGTACTGCTCTCATGTAAACCTGACTTAAATCTTGCTCTCATGTAAACCTGACAACTACAACTTATACAACAGGTACTGCTCTCATGTAAACCTGACTTAAATGTTGTACAACTACAACTTATACAACAGGTACTGCTCTCATGTAAACCTGACTTAAATGTCGTACAACTACAACTTATACAACAGGTACTGCTCTCATGTAAACCTGACTTAAATCTTGTACAACTACAACTTATACAACAGGTACTGCTCTCATGTAAACCTGACTTAAATCTCGTACAACTACAACTTATACAACAGGTACTGCTCTCATGTAAACCTGACTAAGAACTCCTACAATACAACAGATACTGCTCTCATGTAAACCTGACTAAGATCTCCTACAATACAACAGGTACTGCTCTCATGTAAACCTGACTTAAATCTCGTACAACTACAACTTATACAACAGGTACTGCTCTCATGTAAACCTGACTTAAATCTCGTACAAAACCTGACTACAACAACTTATACAACAGGTACTGCTCTCATGTAAACCTGACTTAAATCAACAGTACAAAACCTGACTTACAACTTATACAACAGGTACTGCTCTCATGTAAACCTGACTTAAATCTCGTACAACTACAACTTATACAACAGGTACTGCTCTCATGTAAACCTGACTTAAATCTTGTA